AGCGGAAAGCCCAGAGATCCCACGGGGCACTCAGCAGCCTTGCTAATGGGTATTGGGCGCCCTAGTGGATTGCTTATGGGCACTTTGATTCTCAGGGAAACCATTGTTAACACAGAGGTGATTTTGTTAAACTTCATGGTGCCTGGAAGGGTGTGTCGCTCTAGACCTGATCCTTAAGAACGCCCCAGCAACGTGACTTTGCTTAAGGAGGAGGAAGAAGCAGGGATAGGCAGGTGCGGATGCCAAAGACCCTAACCTTCCTTGGCCAGGTGCTACGTGAACTAACGGTTTTGGCCCATCTGTAACGAGTTTCCGGTAACTGAAGAACACATGTGGCCCACCTTCACAGAGGCTGAAGTGGCCCTGCAGGCCTCCTGGTGGTCTCCTGGGCCTGTGGGGAGGGATTAGGAGCAGTGAGTAATGAGACTGTTAACCAGACTTGAGTTCTAAGTTTGTCCTTTCTGTTCCTGTTTTGTTACTGGACCCAGTTAAGCCTCCTCATGAAGTCAGGTCAGTCAGGCTGTGACACAATCCAAGCTTTAACTGACAAATTTCTGGACATGGAAAAAGCAGCCACCATGAAGAGCACAAAGGTTGACCAGCACAGAGTGACAGTAAGCGGGAACTGGGTGCCCTTTCCGGGATGACCCATGCAAGATCCTTTCCAGAAGCTCTGAGTGGGGTTGCTCAGTGATGGGGTCTCAAAGGAGGAGACTGATAGGCTCTTTACCAAGGACCTCATGGCCAGGTACCAACCTGTGAGGGGTCTGATGGGCTTCTTCAAAGGCCAGCATGATGACAGCCCTGTGGCTATTAGAATTATGCCCAACATCCTGCCTAGTGAGTCTGGAGACAAGTCAGAGAGTCCCAAAACCTTTACCCAGACCTTGACAGGGTGTTCGGTCGAGGCCTCTCTCTCCCCGGGGGGGCCTGCCAAGGCCAGAATTCCCTGCGGAGGTGGAAGAGAATTGCATGTCCTGGGCCTTTTGGATATCAGTGTACAGGTGAGTGTGATGCCTACAACCCCTGCTGCCGGGAGGAGGACGGTGCGCATAATGCCCTCAGGTTTGGGGTCTGTGATGACCAGTGCCAGCACGCTTGCCCAGGCCTGGTCCTGGCTGAGTACTTTTGGGCCCCTACTCGTCAGCGTGCTACCTGGCACAGATGTTTTAGCTGTGTGCACTCCTGCTGGCCTTGGTCCCCAAGCCCCAGCGGGGATTGCTGCACTGCAGGCCATCTTCCTGCAGCATTGGAAGACTGAACCTACCCGACCTTCAGCTCTCAGTGCCATTGTCTCCCCAAAACGGGGCTGGCTGCCTGGTGAGTAAAAGAAATAACTGAGCTGAAGGAAGCCAGAGTGCTCTGTGAGCCTTTTTCTATTCAGGAGCCCCCATCCCCCGACCCCTTTCTGGCCTGTGCACAAGGCCTTGGGTACCTGGAGACTCAACATTGATGACAGGTGGCTCAGTACCATGGTGGTACCTGACATCAGGAAGATGCTACTAGAGGGAGCTTGGTCTGTGGCATTAATGATGTCACTTGCCAGCATGTGTCTTCACTGGGCTGATAAGGATCAATTTCCTTCATTTGGAATGGATTCAACACACCTTTAATGCCCTATGCTTATCTAAATTCCCTGCCTGTCTGCTCTCAGTAGGTAGGCCATGACCTGGAAAAACTCCTAGAGGGAGCACAGACCTTCCACTATATTGATACCAGCTCCTAGATTGCCCAGACATGGTCACTGTCCAACAAGGACCCGACACCATGATGACTCAGGTGGCAACATGACTGGGCTGTTAATACCGACAAAGTGTAACAACTGAGATTCCTGGGGGGTGATCTGGGAAGCAGTACAACATCTCATTCTAGGAGATCATTACCAAACTCTTGGCCCTTCCTGACCCCCAAAATAAAAAAGGCTCAGGGATTGATGGGCTTTTTGGGCTACTGATGTTGTCACATAACTCGTGCAGGGATCTGGCACCCATCTATCAGGTACTAGAAAGGCCACTACCTTTTAGTTGGGCACCAACCAACAGGATACTCTAGAGGCCCTTAGGCTGGCCACCAGGCTTCCCTTCTCCTGGGTCTCACTGGTCCATATCTGCCATTTGAGTTACACATCTCAGCAACCTCTCAGTTCACTGAAGGGAGCCTGTGGCAGAAGGACATCACAAACCAGCACAGACCTGGTAAGCCCCCCAAGTTGGCTGAAAGATACATAGCTTTTGAGAGGCAGTTACTGGCCTGTTGGCCCTTGGTGGATGAGTGTGGTAGTAGACTCACGAGCAGATATTCTAATCATGTTGCTGAAGAACGATAGCTTTGGAATCTCATGAACTAGGAATGGCACCTCCAGGAGCTCAGCTGGAGTCTCACAATTCAGTGAAAAGGTCTCTCGAGTGTCCCTCCACCTCCCAGGAGTAACACCCGAGGAGCCACTGCCTCCTCTGGCCTAAGGGGGACCCAGACATAGAGACCACCTATGGGCCTGGTTCCCATACCACCTATGGGCCTGGTTCACTGATGGCTCCTCCTGGGATGGAACTGGGTGCAGCCCACTTCCAACCTGAAAGAGACCTGCCCTTCCCAAGCGTGGTAAAGGACCTTTGCACAATGGGCAGCTTCATGCAGTGTGGAAGACTGAGATCTGTCCTGCTGTTCCCCCACCTGCTCCTTGCTCCAGCCCTCGCACATAGGCCCTGCTGTATGTTCACCGACTCGCTGGGCTCTGGCAAATGGCTTGGCCATTGATTGTGTGGCATATAAAGCAGACCCCCTGTGAGGATGGGACATTGGGATGACGATCAGTTCTACCCCTACTAAGTGTTTTGTTCCCTCCGTGGTTGCTCACCAGGAAGGCCCCTGTGCTGACAAAGGGAAACAACCAATGAGCATCCCGTGCTTGTCAGCTGAACACAGGAACTGAACTGTTCTCCACCCCAGAGTAAGCAGATGTGCAGCTAATTGCCTCCTCCTGGATCCACAAGAGGATGGCCCTTGGAAATTTGGATACCGTTGTAGGTTGAGCTGGCATGCACAGATTGCCACTGCTGTGGGAAGACTGAACCAGCATGAAAAAGCTGTCCCGCTTGTCAGACCCTGGTCAAAGCTAAACATAACTACCCAGGAACACATTACTTCACGTTGGGCCAGGGCATTCTCAGCAGATAGAACACGTTAGGCACCTCGTCCCACCCATAGTATCCCCCGGATCCTGACTGCAGCTGACACTTCGTCTAGCCATCCCCACGCATTCCACTGACTCGGGCCACACTCTCAGGCCCTATAGGATGACATTTGTTTCCTATTCAGGTTTCCTGAGAGCACTGTATCTGGTAACAGCCCTGGATTTGCAGTCCAAGCTACACATCAGTGAGCTCAGTCATGGGGCATACGGTGGACTCTCCGTATCACCCCTAATCCACAGGGGTGTTGAGCATTTTAATGAACAGTTGAAGGGCAGGTTTAATTAGGGGATGGGAGGGGACAAGATTACCACGGCCTGGATTACACAGCTCAGGCAAGCGGCCTGGGGGCTGAAGGCAGCAGTTCCCCAGTCCTGTGCTTCTCATTAACCCTGCACGTGCTGTCTGCCCCTCCCTTTAATCGTGTGCCCTTCTACAATTACGGCACTTTCCACTCCCTGTGGGGCCCTGTAAGGGGCTTCTGTACCCTTCGACTCCTTCGCAAAGACTCAAATTGGTGGGAGAGGAGGGTGGCTATTAAACATCAAGGAGGTGGGGGACAGCAGCCTCCAACATTGGCCGCTGCGTGCAGAGCATGGGGTTTTGTCTACAAAGACCTCAAAAATAATGACCATCAGTTAGAGGGCTCTGGTTCAACAACTTGCTTAAGGTGGCCGTGACACTTTCCTGGATAGCCCCATGAGATGAATATAAAATAGAATTTTTTACTATAAACCACAAGGGGAGCCAAGCCAAAATATTTGGGGGATTGATTAAGGGCACTGTCCTTGTCCATGGTACACAGCAGACTGTGTTGCAGTTGTCTAGATGTGAACACCTTTGGACCTAACAGCTATGATCTGGGGATATGTTCTCTTTGTCTTACCTATAGGGTTAAGAATCATATTAAAATATCCCCACAGAGAACTTTTGTCATTCATCTAGTACAAATTGAATATAGATCACTGTGCAAGGCACTAGGAGATGAAACAAATACACTCCTTCTCGCTTAGTGTATCTATGGTTGGATAATATGCAAGTAACTACAACATGTGGAAATTGATGAAAATCATAAAGAGGGTAAAGATGATATGGAGAGATCGTTTCTAACTTTGAGGAATTTAGGAAGGCATTACAGAGTTAGCAGTGCTTTTGGCTGGATAGGATTTGAATATGAAAGAATGTAGAAAGTCAAACATTGTGAGTTTAGCTGTGGTAAGTACCATAGTCTGATTGGAAATCATACTCATTTAAGTATGATTATATACTCAAGTATATAATCATATATATTTGATTGTGTGCTTATATTTGAGTGGGAAGGTAAGTTGGAGCCAGAGTAATGTAGCAATTTGTACTTTTTTTGTAGGTGGTGGAAAGGGACCTAGAAAATGTCAAATAAGAGTAACATGATCAGAACTGTGTTTTAGGAAAATTCTTTGTAGAGTATTGTGTCAGGGTTCCCCAAAGCACCCCCAGCTTCACTGATTGACTAGGAACACTCAGAGGACTGAGCCTGTCGTGGAAGTCAGAGCCGTGATTTGTTACAGTGAGAGAACACAAAGCAAAATCAGCAAAGGGAAAGGGCGCGTGGGGCAAATTCCAGGGGAAACCAGGAACAAGTTTCCAAGAGTCCTCTCAGTAGAGTCACACAGGATGTGCTTAATTTCTTCATCAGGAGTTGCAAGCACAAGTGTGAAATGCTACCTACCAAGGAACCTCATTAGAGACTCTGCCCAGGAATTTTTATTGGGGATTGGCCATGCAAGCACCCCTCTGCCTAGCCATTACCAAAATTCCAGACTCCCTGAAGGAAAGTAGCTGTTCATCACAAAACCACATTGTACAGCGGGAGACCAGTGAACCACCCTTAACAGGAAATGGTGGGAACCCTCCTGAAATTCAGGTTCCCAGATGCCACCCAGGGACCAGTCCTGCAAGCAGACCTTTCTAAGGCTAACCCCTCAGGCCTGCTCTGTAATGCACAGGTGTAAGTGGAGTAGAGGGGCTACAAGCTAAAGCATTTGTCTGTCTGTGTTTCTACAAAATCCCACTTTAATTTTTTTTGACTCTTTACTCCTTATTATCATTTTTCTACTTTTATTAAGATGTTTAATGGATGAGATCTAGAGGTCTCTCAGTAAAAATAAAAATTTATTGAAAGAATTTGTTCTATGCTCCTATATTTATCAATTTATTATCTTTACCTGTACTATTCAGTTGTAAAGTGGAAACCTACAATCAAAGATTTGTTTTCTTGTTTTTGTTTTTTAGATTTAAAGAAAATCGAAAAGATGACATTTGGCTTGTAGATGTGAGTATGTAAACTTTTTGTACTAAGTAACCGCCCCTACCATTTTAAGTGTTATTTTGCATTCTCTTCACCCCAATATGTACTAGACAGTACTAATGTATATTACCCACTTTGTTTGCTCAGGTAGTACCATTTGGGTTTTTATATTAAAGTGAACCTCAAAGCCTTAGGATTCCTGGCAGGTGAATGATGAAATTCATTGAAGTTCACTTGTGGATTATGTCTGAGGGAGATTATGGTATGATTTTATTACAGAATTCACTCATATTTTTTTATATTATCCAAGAGATTGAGTATATTAATATTACTTGGCAGTCAAAATCATATTTTCATCTTAGTAGTGAACAAAATCAGATTTTCATCTTCCTTTCCTCACTTGGATGCTTTGAATGTATTTAAACCTTATGATGTTTGGGATTCATTTTGACATGCCTCAGTAAAAAAGTAGAGTGGCAGCAAAAGAGATGGAATGAGAATGGCAGAGCTGACAGTTATTGAAGCCACACAATGAGGTGTAAAGGTCCCTTGTTTAATTCTGTCTGTTTTCCTTTTGTATATGTTTGAACATTTCCATAGTGTAGTATTAAAAGAGAGATAAATCTTGTTTCATAAAAGTACAACAAGCAGTTTGTTACACTGTTTCACCAGAGGAACCTAAGTACCACCCCAGCCATCTGGTGATTCTGAAGAAGAAAGAACTAGGGTTTTAGTTTCTTCAGCCTGACTTGTCACTGTACCAAACCAGTCATCCTGATGATTCCCCACATCTTAACAGTGGTTACGCTTAGAACAGCAGAGGCACCTACTGTGTTGGAATTTTTGTAATAGAAATAAATTTTATCATTAACACTTAAGGGGTGTGCATATGATATATGAAGTGTATTTGGTGGTTTAATTTTATATATAACATGGACATACTTGGAAGCAAAGATGCTTTACTGTAAATCATCTACTTTAAACAGATATCAGTAGTCATTTAAACGTAAAGTAGGATCAGTGTTGAAGTATATCCTAGGAGATGACCTGTCTAGTTTGTGTATATGTGTGTGCTTTTATTTTGAAACCACTTTAAAAATTATATTTAGACCTTTTGTCTAAAATAGATTATTATCCAATCATTTAGTCAAAAAGATTCTTTTAAAATTAAGATTGTACCCAAAGTAGCACAGTATCTTAGTGGTTTTCTCTCTCTCTTTTTTTTTCAAACAAGTTTTATGCACCATGGTGTGGCCATTGTAAAAAACTGGAACCAGTTTGGAATGAAGTTGGTCTCGAGATGAAAAGCATTGGTTCTCCAGTTAAAGTTGGAAAGATGGACGCTACATCCTATTCCAGTAAGCATCTACTCAGTTTATCATTCTACTGTTTCGTAATGAAAGTGTTTTAATTACATGAAGCAGCATTCAAGGTAAGAGGAAGAAATATATATATATATATATATATATATATATATATATATATATATATTTGCTCATGTAAAATTAAAATTATCTTAGAGATTTCAGACTGTATATTTTATGAGTTAGATGAATTAACCATTGAATAGGTAATATGCAGTCTATGTTGATCTTATACCCAATATAGATGTATGAGCCACTGTTCCTGTTTTGAGCCCACTTGAGATAATCAGTTGCCTGAGACACAGCCACAGAAATTTGAGTGTTGAGCTCTTGATATTGTTGCACGGCTTAAGAGTGAGAGTTTGCTGTCTGAGCAGCCTGAATGGCATGGTAGAGGAGTAACGGGAACTCGAAGGACAAGCTGAGTTAGGATAAATAGAAGTGAGGATCGGGAAAGTGTTCACATTAGAGAGAATATTAAACCAAAATCATAGAGCTGAAAAAGAGTGTAGTGAGTCTGTACCAGAGACTAGAATGTCTTTGAGCAGAAAATGGCAAACCACAGCGCTGGACAGTCTGGCCCCCGCCTGCTTTGTACATACAGCTTGACTGGAACAAGGCACTCTCCTTTGTTTACCCTTATTTATGGCTGTTTTCATGTCCCAGAGGCAGATTCAAGTAGGTACAGCAGAGACTGTAGGCCCCACAAAGCCTAAAATATTTATTATCAGACCCTGTACAGATAAAGTTTACCAACACCTGTCTTAAAGATTTGGGAAAAGGCAAAATTAAGTTTAGAGAAGTATGAGGTATCACACAGATTTGGAAAGAGCATGGCTTCAGAAAGTAGATCAAATACGGCTCTGCCTACTACTTTTGCCCTGTAGCACGGGGAAAGTTTCTTAACATCTCTATACTTTGATTTCCACACGGGTAAATATTTAATTATAATGAACTTTTTATTGGTTGTTCTGAGATTAGAGTGAGGTAGCACATGTACAGTCCCTCGTAGTATGCAATAAATGTAGGTACCCTTTTCCTTTAATTAATGAAGAAAGTGGAAGTATGAAATGCAAAATGCATATTTCATTTTAGGAAATCAGCATTGTACTCTGGATATAAGTTTGGAACAAGACAGACATATGTTTTAAGCCCAAGTCTATCATCTCTTACTTTTGTGGCTTTGGGGAAGTGCTTAACCTCTCTTAATTTTAGTTTCCTTGTCTGTAAATGAGAGAGTGATAATGCTCAAGGTTGTGAGGACTGTACTAATATTTCTTATTCAAAACTCCTAGCACAATGGCTAGTACTTAAAGGTGCTAAGGGATAATACCAGATTTTAAGAGCCTCTCAGGTGGGATAAAGTGTTTTGGATTTTATCAGTTGTCAATTGAGAGGTAATACACATTTTTGAGAAGGCATATGATTTGATAAAAATGTTTATGAAAAGAAGAACAGATGAAAAGAACAGTTAGAGACAAACAGATCATCTAAGTGGACTTTTGTATGCATCTTGGTATAGGGTGCTGGGAGGGCAGACTTGGGTGGCTGGCAGGGCAATAAAGAGGAAACGGTAATTCTTATATACATTTGCAAGGGTTAAATCACGGATGTGCTAGATTGGCTCTGGTATAAAGAAAAACAATTGAAAATAGTGTAAGATTCCTAGCACAATTCACATTGAACTACATTACCACTGGTTAAATGGAAAAGAATAATACATTTAATTTTGTGTGTGTTTTCATGTTAGCAGCTGTTTTGAATTTGTGATATTTTGCTTTATTGATGTTTGGGAATATGGGGAACTAGAGTGCAGGTGAGATGTTAGAACTGGAATTACTGAGTCACACAAGTGAATTGCTGCGACTTTGAGAGGGGATGAGATCTATGGCAGGAAGTTATCTTAGAGAGAGAGAGATAAGGTAATATTCTTGAGTTGGTATTTCTTGAAATAAGCTTTTACAGTGTTTAAGAAATTATTCCTTTTAACTGTTGTGAAAGTAAATTTTTGTGTCTAGGCATGTATGTTGATTAGACATGCATACACATACATTCGTCCATATAGTCATTCATTTATTTCAGTCAGTCAAAGGATAACTAATAAACATAAATAAATTGTCTGGTGTTTAGTGTTTGATGTCAGTGATGGATGAATTTTTTTTTTTTTTTTTCGGTATGCGGGCCTCTCACTGTTGTGGCCTCTCCCGTTGTGGAGCACAGGCTCCGGACGCGCAGGCTCAGCGGCCATGGCTCACTGGCCCAGCTGCTCCGCGGCGTGTGGGATCTTCCTGGACCGGGGCATGAACCCGTGTCCCCTGCATCAGCAGGCGGACGATGGATGAATTTTTCATTCTGTTATAGAATCAAGAAGATGTTTTATGTGCTATGGAGAAAAGAAATATCATCTTCCTAAAAAAAGTAGTTAAGTATTAAAAAACTACCGTCTAGAGATTACAAATAGATTTTTGGCATATAATTCTTAAAGTTTTCTTAAATATTTCAAGGCAGCTCAAATACAGGCATTTCAGTAGAACTTGGAATGAAATAGGTGAAGAAATTGAATTTCTTTTTTCAGGCTAGCTGTTGGCAGTATTCTGCATCTAACTATAGAGCACTAAAGGATTTGTTGTTTTGTACGTGTTTCTTCCATCCCCATAGGTTGCTTTTCAGATGGTATAGCATCGGTGTTTCCCAGTGTTTATTCTGCAGGCTGCCTGCATTAGGATTACCTGGGGTGCTCAGTATAAATTCAGATTTCAAAGGCCCACATCAACCCTACCAAATGAAAATCAGATTGAGCCATAAGAATCTGTGTTTTTAACATGGACTTCAGGTGATTCTGCTGCACACTCAAGTTAGAGAATCACAGAGTAAAGTATTATTTTGATGGATAGTTATTTATAGGATCTCAGTTTAGGGTGGGATAGGATTATTCCGTGATCAAGTGTAGAAAATCTCTTAGACTGTTTGATGGTAGCTTATTTCTCAATCATGTAATTGCAGTGATTGAAATAAATGCCATCACACTCAGTCCAACAAATCTCTGTGTATAGAAGTTTTAAACAGGAGAGATTTGAACTTTCATGATTTACCCTGCCCTGTGTGTATCAAAAATTTCTTGATGCATGGTTGTAATTAATAATATATCGAATAACATTAAAAAGTTGTATAATGTCCAGTGTAAATTCACATATTATTGTAGCCTTTCTTTTTCTACATATGCCTTCAAAAATGAGCACAAAAATTGTTTCTCATTCACCAGTTAAAATGTTATGATGTTACCTGTAGCATGTACTGATTTCTATTATGAAACCACTGAAATTCCATTTATTCCTCAACCTAAGTGTGACATCATTTTATAGTAAAGATCATATTTTACCCCCCTTTCATGTATAAACTTTCAAGGGCATTTGGCCAATAACATTCTTATTCTGATTCTTAGATCTCAGATATATTTGCAGATCAGTCTTACCTTTCTAGATTATAATATATCTGCAGATCAGTCTTACCTTTTAGTCAGTGACTATATTTCAGGGTTGCTCAAACTTGGTACTGTTGACATTTGGGGCCAGGAAATTCTTTGTTTTGGCGGGAGAAGAGTTTTCCTATGCGTTGTAGGATATTCAGCAGCATTCTTGGCCTCTACCAACTAGATGCCAGTAGCTCCCTTCTCTCCCCACCCCCTAAGCTGGCAACCAGAAATGTCTCCAGACATTGAGGGCAAAATCACCCCCAGTTGAGAACCTCTGCATTATTTTATTCCCTTCCCATTTTAGACACAGAGTGACACTCAGTAAACACTAAGAAAAATAGTATTTTTGAGCTGAAAAGGATTTCAGGTTGAGTTCAACTCCTCACTTTTTCCCTCCTTTCATTGTGTAGATGAAGTAACAGAAGGTAATTAGCAGTGAACTGACTTTACTAATTTCAGACATCAAATTTAGCAACAGAATTAGGCCCAGAGGGCTTCCCTGGTGGTGCAGTGGTAGAGAGCCCGCCTGCCGATGCAGGGGACACGGGTTCGTGCCCCGGTCCGGGAAGATCCCACATGCCGCGGAGCGGCTGGGCCCGTGAGCCGTGGCCGCTGAGCCTGCATGTCCGGAGCCTGTGCTCCGCAACGGGAGAGGCCACAGCAGTGAGAGGCCCGCGTACCGCAAAAAAAAAAAAAAAAAAAAAAGAATTAGGCCCAGAATCCAAGATCACCATGATTCAAAATCAGGCCTATCTTAACCATCAAGTTGTTATCATTTCAAGGAGAAAACAAATGAAATAGGGAGCTTTATGCTTAACCTTATTTTCTGAACATTTAAAATTACAAAATTTCAGGGGAAGTTATTCACGTTGCAGATGGATTCTTCAGTTTGTAATGGAATTGATCTCAGGTTTCTATATAAACCATTGTTCTTTGATAGGAAAAAATAAAGAACAAAAGATTTAAACTCAGACTTGAGTTTCAGCATCGGCCGTGCTGCCTAATCAATGCTTGCTTTCTAACAAGTTGACAAGTCTTCCGAAGTATTAGCTTATCTGAAAGATAACATTAGCATCTGTCACCCCACCTCACAAAATTGTTTTGAGGGGTAGTTGAAGGCATATTAATGCCAATTATAAGATATCTACACATGCTAATTCTTATTAATATTTTTTGCACATTAGTGTGTCAACAGGTAATTACTTAAGAGTGAGGTCAGGACCAAGAATAGAAGAAAATGGACTCAGCATTTGAGCATCTGTGTGCCGAACTCTCTGTTAGATTCTTTTCCACACTTCCTTGTTTTAAATACCACTCATAGCCCTACAAGATGAGTGGTATCCCCAGAAGCGGAAACAGAATCCAAAGTGAAGGAGCTTACACCGAGCTGCATGGACAATAAATGGAGATGTTGGAACCCTAACCTGGGTTATTATGTGCCTGTAACTCATGCCTTGCTGTGTGCCTCTTTAATTATACAATCATTTACATTTAGGAAAACCTACCTTTGAAGTTTTAGCAGTCACTGTCAGTTGAAATTCTGTCAGAGATGAAAGTAATGTTCAAAGGACCAAAGGGCTAAAGGGTGGGTGGTATCATCTCCATCTTATAGGTAAGAAAACTGAGGTCAAGGAAATTAAGTGATGGGGTTATGTGTGGAGCTGTGATTTTTCTCTCTGAAGCCTGTCATGAGAACCATAACGTCAGCTATAAAATACCACCACTGTATTTTCTCATTGATTGCATATTTCATTTTAAAAATTTGATTTGTGTACAAATAAATTTTACACTAAATTATGTAAGCAATTGCTACTGGGCTACACCACCCCCTCCAGTCAATTTTATTAGTCTTTATATTTTGGCAGTTTTTTTTTTTTTTTTTTTTTTTTGGCGGTTCGCGGGCCTCTCACTGTTGTGGCCTCTCCCGTTGCGGAGCACAGGCTCCGGATGCGCAGGCCCAGCGGCCACGGCTCACGGGCCCAGCCGCTCCACGGCATGTGGGATCTTCCCGGACCGGGGCACGAACCCGTGTCCCCTGCATCGGCAGGCGGACTCTCAACCACTGCGCCACCAGGGAAGCCCTATTTTGGCAGTTTTTAATGAGGTTTAGTTGAAAGTAATAATGGTTTATATTTACCTGCCTTCTTAATTTGGGATGGGGAGCATTAAGAACATACATTATACACATAATCTGTGTTTTTTCTTGGAAGAGGGCAATCTCAATAACAGCATTATTCAATTAGAATATGCTTGACCTGAAAATACTTGCAAATGATGTAACCAATAAGGATTTAATACCAAAATATATAAACAGCTTATACAACTCAATATAAAAAAAAAAAACCTGATTAAAAAATGGGCAGAAGACCTAAACAGACATTTCTCCAAAGGAGACATACAGATGGCTAACAGGCACATGAAAAGATGCTTAACGCTGCTAATTATTAGAGAAATGCAAATCAAAACTACAATGGGATATCACCTCTTACTTCTCAGAATGGCCATCATCAAAAAGTCTACAGATAACAAATGTTGGCGAGGATGTGGAGAAAACAGTTGTATACAATTGGTGGGAATTAAATTGATGCAGCCACTATGGAAAACAGTATGGAGGTTCCTTAAAAAACTAAAAGTAGAGCTACCATATGATCCAGCAATCCCACTCCTGGGTATATATCCAGAAAAAATGAAAACTCTAATTTGAAAAAATACATGCACTCCAGTGTTCACAGCAGCACTATTTATAATACCCAAGACGTGGAAACAACCCAAGGGCCAACAGATGATTGGCTTAAGAATATGTGGTGTATATATGTGTGTGTGTGTGTGTGTGTGTGTGTGTGTGTGTGTGTGTGTGTGTGTGTGTGCGTGCAATGGAATATTACTTAGCCATAAAAAAGAATGAAACTCTGCCATTTGTAACAATGTGGATGGACCTAAAAAGTATTATGCTTAGTGAAATAAGTCAGAGAAAGATAAATACTTTATGTTATCACTTATTTGTGGAATCTGAAAAATAAAATGAATGTGTATAACAGCACTGAAACGGACTCACATATAATAGAAAACAAACTAGTGGATACCAGTAGGGAGAGGGAAGCAAGGAGGGGCAAGATAAGAATGTGGGATTAAGAGGTACCAACTAGTATATATAAAATAAATAAGCACCAAGGATATATTGTACAGCACAGGGAAATACAGCCATAATAACTGTAGATGAAGTATAATCTATAAAAATATTGTCACGGGCTTCCCTGGTGGCGCAGTGGTTGAGAGTCCGCCTGCCGATGCGGGGGACACGGGTTCATGCCCCGGTCTGGGAGGATCCCACATGCCGCGGAGCGGCTGGGCCCGTGATCCATGGCTGCTGAGCCTGCGCGTCCGGAGCCTGTGCTCCCAAACGGGAGAGGCCACAACAGTGAGAGGCCCACGTACCGCAAAAAAAAAAAAAAAAAAAAAATATTGTCACTATGCTGTACACCTGAAACTAATATAATATTGTAAATCAACTATACTTCAATAAAATGTGTGTGTATGTGTGTATATATGTGTGTGTGTGTGTATATATATATACACACACTTGACAGAATAAGTCCTAAATTAGAGATAGGCACAAATTATGTAATTGGTCTAAGTTCACATGACTCTTCAGAGGCAGAACCTGTATCTTCATATATATATATATATATATACCAAGTTCCTATTTTTGTTACATCTGTTGTTTGTGTTGCCTCTAATAAAAACCATTGTTGATCACTGTCTGGAACCTTCTGGTCACCTCTCTCCATGCATTTAAGGGAGAAGCTCTAGAGTTGACAAGGGAAGGAGGAGAGATTTTCGATATTATTTGCCACTAATTCATTTTGTCTTTATTCTTGTGTATTGATGGGGAGTGATGAGAAACCAAAATTAATGATTACTAAAGTGATGAGTAAATCAGAACTCACATATAGAGGCAGTTTTCTTATACCCAGCTATCATAAGAATATATTCTGGAAATAAAAGAAAATTAAGAAAAGGAGAGATCATGTAAGTAAATACAGTATACTTTGCATATACTAGGATAAGTATAAGTATATTGTATTTTGTCTGCTAACTGAGAATATTTTATTTCTTCTTTCCTGTCCTAATTGCCTTGACTCTGTAAAGTAGTATAGTATTGATTTCCCATATTGATTACTATAATTCTTAAAGTCCAAATTCTCTGTTGTTTGCATGTTTTCATTACTATTCTCCTTTCCCTCAAAAAGATGCCACTGTAGTGTGTGTCTCATTTTAATTAATGTGCGATTTCAGAATAATCTTTGAAATAACTGGAATTACTCTAGGTTATTACAGAAGCAGAAACTTTTAAAACAAGTAGATAAAATTGCTTTTAGATCATGTATTAAATTAATTTTGCAATTATGATTTATGTTTTTAACATTAAAATACAAAGCAGTTCTTTTAAGACTGAGAAAACACTATAAAGGAAGAGACGGGCCTTTTTTGAAGAAATATTTGTCCTGGAAATGAAGTCAAATGAGGAGTGAGACTTATTTATATATGTGTGTGTGTGTGTATATATATATATATAATTTTTTTAAAACAAGAATATCTTTTAAAGTAAATACTTTAGAGATAAAAATTTACTCTTTTGGCATTTTTCTTTATTTTGTTATAGTATTTTTGTGCAGGTCATAAGTTGGATTATTAAGTAATTATTTTGTATGAGAATGTCATGTTTTTTCTTTTTTGTATGTGTTTATATTCTTTTATAAGAATTGAAAACAGCATATCTATATGGGTTTGTATAAATATATATTTTTTTAAGTAAAAGGCTCATTTATTTCCTAGTTTCTCATTTTAAAAAAATTTAGAATTATTTATTCTTTTTCTTGTCAAGGCATTGCTTCAGAGTTTGGAGTTCGGGGTTATCCAACAATTAAGCTGTAAGTTGAGTGTTGTATGTTTATATGTGTATTTTTATTAGTTCACTCTACTTACATTTTATTACATTAATTTCTAGTAGCTTCCTTGGAGGACTGAAGATTTGGGTTCCGCAGCTCTTTCTAGGTGCAGTGTGTGATCCAGGGAGAGGGACTTCATCCGTGCTTTTCTTTGCACTTAAGTTAATGTGTGGTTTATGGCTAATTCACCAAATGTGTTTTGAGTTTACTGTGACAGGTGCTGAGCAGGACAAGGTATACAGTTGTAAATTAGGAAAGCTCTACCCCTGAGGAGCTCAAGGGTATATTCTGTTTAACTTGTGAATCCTGTCTCCTAACAAATTTTACTTTTCTGTGATTGAAATAGACTTATTTCATTAGAGATGAAAGAAAAGAGAATCAAATTGCTGGATGTTAATTCTCATCTGTAGATGTTGATCACGTCTAAGACAGAGCATATACTGTAGAAGAAATATCGTGAAAATTCTAAAGGACTTGTGTTTTATAATCACGTTATTGAATTTTCTCATGAGTTGAATCCTGATCTCATCCTTATTTCAATAATGTGGAGAGTTGAGGAATTATTTTGAAATTTATTTTTATTATAAGTAAGTTATTTTAGTATTTTAAAATCTCAGATTTTAAAATTTGACTAATTTTAATTTTTTTATTTCTTGGATTTTGTGTTGGCCTCCTTTCTTTCCCCCACTGTTTAAAAATGTTTGCCAAGGGAATTCCCTGGCAGTCCAGTGGTTGGGACTCTTTGCTTTCACTGCTGAGGGCACAGGTTCAGTCCCTGGTCAGGGAACTAAGATCCCACAGGCCACACGGCATGGCCAAAAAAATAAATAATATAAAATAAAATAAAAAAACACACGCACACACACAAGATACTTCCAGGGCATAACCTTTAAAAAAAAAAGTTTGTAAGCCTCTTTGACTTTCTTGTGTTCAGTAAATTATCTTTTCTATTCTTTCTGTTTAATTATAGATGTTCTGTGCTTTCACAGTTTTTTAAAAAAATTTCAGTTAGTTGGACACAATTCATTGGCAGGCTTTTGGAAAATTATCTAATTTTCTAGAAGAGGTATTTTTATGCATTGTTTTCCTCTTTAATCTTGGAACATCTGTCATGTTACTCTGATGTTGTATTGCTTAAAATTGGTTTTACCTTTACCAAAATACTTTTAATTCCCTGTCCTTTCACGTACTTTTTAATAGAGAAGATAGTGCGAATTAAGCTTTGATGAGTTCTTGACTGTGAATGTATATATTTTTCATTTATCAGAAGGCATAGACACAATGCAATTATCAAATACAGAGTAAAATATTTTCATGTAATTTTAATAAAATACAGCCTTTTTCTTTGCATTTTGGTTGTTGGTTCCCTGAAGCCAGTTATTGGCTGTTTTTTACATGATTATGCTACTTCTAAAACTCCACTGCATTTACTCTTTTATATGCTGTAATTTGTGTTACAATAGAGAGTGATTATCATTAAATGTGAAAACAGTTGAAATAATCTAAACTTTTACCCTGTTTTCTTTTTTTAAGATTAAAAGGGGACCTGGCGTATAATTATAGAGGACCACGAACTAAAGATGATATAATTGAGTTTGCTCACAGAGTGTCTGGGTAAGTTTGTATTATGAAGGGCCTTTACTGTATAATATTAGTATTTGCAAGTTAAATGTATTTAAGTAGACCATACTGAACATACATATTTTTAGGTGTTTAGCCTAAATAAAATTTGTCTATTTATTTATAAAGGAAAGCTAGGGTTGCGTAGCATATGCAAAGAGCTCCTCGAGAGGAATAAAAGGGTCTGTGATCTTATGTACTTGTTAGCCTCACATTTAAATTCACTTTGTGTATAGAAGAAAATTTTCCCCAATGGATTTTTAATACATTTTCAAAACTTGATTACTTCTAACAACTTTGTGAATCTTAATTTTTTTATTATAATTTTGCCTTTACTGCCTGGTTTACATTCATTTATTTTTTTTGTTATCTAATTTCAGTTTTAAGAGAAACCCCACAGTATTACATTCTAAATAAACTTGGGCTTTAATCCCTAGCCTTTAATACCAGAAAATGCTTTTTAGATGCAGCTAAAATACTTTCCCTCATCTTTCACATGCTGCTTTATGCCAACTGTGAGGTATTATTGCACATTTCGCTTAGAAGGTAATATAATTAGAACCCAGAGATCTTTATGAGTTACAGATCTCTGAAGTTTTACTGCTAAGGAATCAGAAATTCTTCTGTGTTTCCTTTTGGTTTGAATGTGGTGATTTGTTTTTTTACTCTACATCTTGCTGGTGTATAAAGAAAGTTGGTGTGTATAATTATTTAATGTGATTATGTGTAACTTCTGGAAGAGGACATTTATCAAAATAGGTTAACCTACTTTGACTTTGAAAGTATGGTTGCTTATGAGTTTGACAGGATATATTATATTGATAGCTTTAAATAATTTTAAGATAAATTAACATATTGGAATGGATTTGTTGGGTGGCACGATACTATCTAGCTTAAATTATTTGAGAAAAGGCACAGAATTAGGAATGGTCTTTGTATATTAAAGTTTGCAAAGCTTTAGTGAAGTATAATTTTCACTGTATTTTCTCATTGATTGCATATTTCATTTTCTTTATTTGTTTTGTGAGTAAATAAATTTTGAGATAACTTTATATTACATGAGGGGGTCGCCAGTAGGGATTATTTTATTCCCCTATAGTTTAAATTAGTCTTTATGTTTTGGCAATTTTTAATGAGTTTTAGTTTAAGCTTTAGATGGCCTTCTGATGTAACTGGGAGTGATTCTACTGCAAAGGAAATTTCAAGAGTCAGTTCTGGAGTTGCATCACTTACTAGTTAATTACTAAAGTATTAAAATAGAGGCTAGAGTATAGTGATGCAATGCATTTAAAGAATTGTGTGTTTCGAAAATGTTTGCCTCTGCAGAATACATTTTGTTCTTCTTTGCAAATGTGATGGAGTAAAAATCTAATAATATAGACCACACTAAAAAAAGACTGCCTCTTAGCTTTTAATAGTATTTCATAAGTGATATGTTTTATAATAATCTGTGGTATAATTCATTTCTCAGCCTATTTGGCTTTGAAAATGACTGTATAATAAAACTTTTTGTAGTTTTGTTTTCTCTTCATGAGATTCTTATATGCTATTATGACTACAATTTTCCATTTTATTTTTCCTGAGAAGAATAACATAGGAAACATTTTAGATTTTAACCTTTATAGTGTGTTTTAAAACTAGCATTTAAATGGTCAGAGAAAGACATAAATATTCTAAACATAATATTCTAAACTCCTGGGATAGTATTTCACAGTGTGTTTATGTGAATGATCTTTCGAAAGGGAGAAAAAGAATAATTCTCAGGTGGATTGTTTTGTTTTTAGCTGAGGATTCTAAATGGATTATAGTTCCATCTTTGCCTATCAAAACATTGGTTAAGATGATACTCTCTAAAGGGATGTATTTAAAGCTTATTTTTTAAACTGGTAGATTAAAGTGTAGGTACTGTATTTTTATTATATGGTTATAATAGTGGTCATGGGCCATAGTTTATTAGATTTATGTAGATTGAGTGATATACTTAAAATGTAATTCATACAGTATTAAAGCTTTGTAACTTTAGATATGATAGGATGACATATAAATAGGAGTAAATTATGTACTATCCTTAGTTCAAGTGCTAGTTTTTTTGTTTTGTTTTATTTTCAAACAGGGCTCTAATTCGGCCACTGCCAAGTCAGCAAATGTTTGAACATGTGCAGAAGAGGCATCGTGTATTTTTTGTTTATATAGGTGGAGAGTCACCTCTGAAGGTATCAAATGATTTTATTCTTTAATCCACAAGCACAGATATATTGTAATTTAATTTTCTGTATAACGAGGGCTTCACCAAAAACTCAGGACTTATTTCACTCTTATTAGAAATACTTTAGTTGAATCTAAGTATTTTTATAATAAAAACACTTTGTCATATACCCTCTATAGTATTTGCCTTCATGAAACAGAATTGAGTAAAAAGTGGGTGGGTGTTGCCTGTGTTAGTATATTTCTTCTATTGACCTGGTTATTTAGATTTTGTATTGCTTTTTAGCATTTTGAGTCTTTGAAACTGCAACATGCAGTTTGAGTGTAAACTTTTTAAAAGCAAAAACTCATTGTCTTAAGATTATTTTATGTATGTTATGTTTGTGTTTGCATGTCAGACACACACATCTCTTCCTATAATCATCATCAAATTAAATTAATAAATATGAGTTGAGCTTGTTATATTTAATGAACTTTATTTGAAGGCATATAAAAGCACTTAGTTACAATGGTCTTTTGCCTTAGAAAAAGTTTATTTCATTTCCTTATATTTAATCTTTTCACATGAAAAGACTTAAGCAAGCTAATTGTGATGATACTACTTAGCAGTGATACTACTTGCTCTGAATGTTTAATGAGGAATGAATTTTGATCTTGATTAATATTTAAAAGTCACCTTTTTTCTGTTTGTATCTTCACAGGAGAAATACATAGATGCTGCTTCCGAATTAATTGTATATACATACTTTTTTTCTGCCTCAGAAGAAGTCGTCCCTGAGGTAATATTTAAAGTTGGATTTTAAGTAGGTGTATTAATTACTATATATATTCAACAAGTGTTTGTTGTCCTTTAATTGTGTGCCATGCACAGTTTTAAGTCCTGGATTATTGATGGCAAGCAAAATCATCAGGACCCTGATGGTTGGAGTTTACTGTTCTCATGGGTGGGGGAAGTGGACTGAGTTTTAGTATTGTAGATAAGAGCCTTCCCTTGGGTCCTCAGACTGAGATAGTGGTCCTCCGTAAGCATAGCTATAAACAGGATATCATAACTGCTCTAAAAAATAATAAAGGAGCAGTGTGATAGTAAGGACATTTAGAGGTGGGATGGCTACTCTTGTTTCATTGATCAGGAAATGTCTGTCTGAGGAGAAAATACATCTGAACTGGGACTTACGGGATGTGAAGGAGCCACGCACAGATCTGTGGCCATAGTAAACCAGAAACAAGGAACAGACATTACAGATGGCCAAGATGAGAGCCTTCATGGCATAGTGGAGTAACAGAGCTGTAGCCAGTGTGGCTGAACTGCAGTGAGAAAGGAGATGGGAGGTAGGCAGAGGCCAGTGGAAGCCTTCTAGGTCAGGGCCACGCAAGTGAGGACTTGGTCTCAAGTTCATTTTAAGGACATTACTCTGTGCTAAGTGCAGACACAATTGGATCAGGATGAGACTAGATCAGGAAGCTCAGTTGAACTCTTGAAGTAGTCTAGGATTTAGGCTTGAAAGTTAGTAAGAGAATTAGGAAGAAATGAAAGAATTGTATTTGGAGATAGAATTTTTTGAGCTTGTTCTAGAGGAAAAGAGGTGCATCAAGGATGACTCTTAGGTTTTTGGCCTGAACAACTGGTTAGATGGTGGTGTTATTTATGAGCTGGGGAATACTGGGGAAGGAACAAGTTGGAGTATGGGAGGAGAGATGGTGTTTTGAAGGTTTATTTTAATTTAAGTTGACGTATTAGGCATCCAAGTACAAGCGTCAGATAAGTTATCTCAAGTTTGGAGATAAGTCATGGCTGCATAAATGAAATAAACTTCTTAGACATGGGATGCAAATCTGGGGGGAGATAAGAGTGTCCAGGTCCTAACAGCAAAGGACAATGAGAAGAAATTGCCAGTAAAGTAGGAAAACAAGGTGAATGGGAAGCCAAGATAAAAAGTGTTTAAGAAAGGAGTGGCCAATTGTGCAAGATGTTGTGAAGCAACCAAGGTGAGGAGAGGAAAGAACCATGGTGTTTGTCCCTATAGAGGTTGTTGGTGGTTTTAAGAGAACCAGTTTCAGAGGAGTAATGGGGACAAGTGACTCACTGGTGTGATTTCAGAGACTGGCTCACTCAGGGATACCCTTGAAACGGAGAGATGCTGAATGCTGTGAAATACTCCCAGGGTACCTGTGTGGATGAGTCGCCAACCATGGGTGAATAGAGGCATGCTGGATGGTAGAGCCTCACCTGAGAGCTTTACCACTGCCCTTACAATAGTTATTTTCATGGTGCTGTGATGTAACCAGATCATTCTAGATCACCTGCGACATAACCTTCCTCCCTTTTTAATCTTTCCAGGATAGCTGTCCTTATTTTAATTTTATTATTGCTTTTACTGTATTAGTTATCTACTGATTTATTTGTTGTTATGCTCAGTATTACCACACTCATATAGTAATTCTGTGTGGCTTACCTAAATTATATCTTTCATGCTATGATACTGATTTCTCTACTGTAATTTTATTATTTTGAAATAAGTACAACACAGGTATAAGAAGCAGGTACCCACTGAATGGATTCCTTATTATTAATGGCCATTGTAAGTTCCCATTCATAAAGCAGTTTATCGTTTAAGCCTGCTCTCACCTCTCAACGTGTGTTAGCAGATCTCACTCTCCTAACTCCCCAGTGAGGTGGGTGCTCTGAGTCCTGGATTCACGGGAAGCCGACTCCCCGGGTGAAGTGATGGACTCATTGTTTCACAGCCTGGGAGTGCTGGGGAGAACCTACCTGTGCTGACTGCTACCTTAGCCCCTGCTCTTCCGTCGTTTCAGAGTGCCTCCTGGCCTTCACTTCCTGTGATATCTTTGTGTCTGTTAACAACTCTAAGAATATTTCGTGATTTCACCAAGGCAAACAGGGCACCGTGCCAGAGAGTGTATAAAGAGGTATCAAGCCCAGTCCTTGGATGAGCTAGGGATTGACTGTGTTCTTTTTAACTGTTGGTAACTTTTTTGTGGTTGTCATCATTGTGTTTCCCCCCCCCCCCCGTAACTTTCAATGCTTTTGAACTCACAGCTACCAACTGAAATTTTTTTTCTGATTTTCGCAGTATGTGACCCTGAAAGAGATGCCCGCTGTGCTTGTTTTCAAAGATGAAACTTACTTTGTTTATGATGGTAAGTTCCAAAGTTTTAACTCATGTAAACACTTTATAATTACAATATTGTATCTATTATAGGGCTTAGGTGTTGATGAAAGATTTAGTAAATGCAGCCACTGCTTACATTTCCCTTTAGTTGAATGACTGCCAGGTTTTTCGTACCCTTCAACTTTAGTTTTTTCCACTCAGTGTTCTTTCATCCTGAGTTTGGCTACAGTAAATTTCTCTTTTTGTCAGATCATTTGCCTTTTTTAGAAATGAGGCCTAGGCAATTTCTATACATTACTTTAAAATATTCAAAATTAATTTTAAGAAGGTCTAACATTTGAGACACACAAAGATGTGAAAGAAATAAACCATCTTCAATAGTGGTGAAGCCCTGGGGTATTCTTCTGTAGCCTTTTCTCTCCCTCCCTGACAGAAGTAACCACCCACCTGCTATTCAGCATTTCTTTGTTGAAGCAAATACTTGGTCTATTTTTAAATATTTTTATTATATCAAACACACATTATAGTAAAGAGAATGCTAAAATAGTAAGACTCTACATACATACCTGTCACCCAGGTGAGACAGTTACTGAGATCTTACCACGTTTGCTTCAACAATTTTTTTTCTTTGTTGAGGCATTTTAGCAAATCCCAGTGGCATTTCATCGCTATGTGCTTCATTATGCGTCCCTGACTACATGTTTATTACGCATTTCTTTTAAAATGTGGGCTTTTGGGAGTTTCTTTTTTTAAGATAACCACATGCTATTGTAACACTTAACAAAATTAACAGTAATTCCTTGGTATTATCAAATAACATACTACCAGAGTTTGCAAACTGGGCTTTGAGGTAGCTTAGGGCAGTGCAGCAGACTCACAGGGGCATGCGGAGATAGTTCGGATTTCAGGAAGCATTGAAACTTGACATCTGTTGGACAGTACACAGCCACTGAAAAGCAAAAGCAAATGCAAAATCTCACCTACTAGCGATGTTAGTAACATTGTAAATTACATACAATTAATGAAATAAAAAATTCAGTTCCTCATTCTCACTAGCTACTTTTCATATACTCAGTGGCCTTGTGTGGCTTTTGTTGGAGAGCACAGATAGGGACCATTTATTCATATCAGAAACATTCTAGAGAGTTATTTTTACTGAAGCAAACTTGGGTCCACTCTCCTATATGAAGTAAAACCAATCTGCTGATGCTGGGTTGTGGTGAAGGAAAGGGCAGCTTCAGTGCAGGGCGCCAAGCAAGGAGTCCAGGGCAGCTAGTGCTCAAAGGCCAGGTGAGGGAGGGGAGTCACAGGGTGTGTGATCAGCTGGTGCACAGTCCTCTGATTGGTTGATGGTGAGGTAACAGCAAGGGCCATGTCAGTTAACATTATCAATCCTTAGGCTGCAGTAGGCCTGGGGGATAAGAGCTTCTGGTCATCAAAACAACCCAGGAAAGTGCATCAGATACGGTTACATAAGCAGAGGATATGGGGGAAGGGTCGCCCAGGACTGCCCCTTAGGGGTTCTGCTCAGTCATATTATCTTATGATGGAGAAGAAACTAGAAGTGTTTGAGAGCTGTAAGCTTTGAGTTGCTTAAATGACTCAAATGAATAGAAGAATATCTAATAAAAGGAATATTTTGATTGTCTTGTTTTAGTCAAAGGAGCATTTTAATTGTTTTGACAGTAACATGAAGACAAAGCAGTTCTAAAATCTTGTATCTTCACTATCTTTAGATAAATGTGAGGACTGTGTTTTATTTCTTAATGTAGTGTAATAACCACCATTTACCTGTTATGTTTTGTACAGCAGGGACTATCTATTTGCTTAACTCGATATTTTCATTTTATTCTCACCTTAATCTGGTAGTAAGGCAGATAGATAAATATCCTGAGATTACAGAGAGGGTAACTAAGAATGTTAGATAAAGGAGAGAGATATGTAGTTAAATTGCAGGTTCATTCCTTTGCTCATTCATTGAATATTTGTTGAATGGCTGCATGAGACATTGAGCTTAAAAAGGAAATTAAGAGGAACTTGCATATGTGAAAATGTGTTAAGGAAAATTCATATTCCATCCACTCATTCTCTACACTCCTTGTATGATAAGCACTTAGTATATTCAATATATTGTCTTATTTGATCATTACAACAGTCTTTTGAGATCAGCAGTCTTACTGTTTTATAAATAAACAGGATTAAAGAGATTGTTTTTGTTTCTTTCCAAGTTAAAATAGTACATGGTATAATCAAGATTCAGCCTTCAAATCTCTTGTTCTAGTTGCATTATGAGTTTCTTAACTCAGAGAGCCACTTCGCTTTTTTTTGGAAAAAGGCCTGATTTTCTTTATTAAAGAATACATTTAAGTCTAAATAATGGCTAAGAAGTGCCCTTCCCCATCCATGTTTCAGATGTGGCCTCCGATGCATAAGAAAGAGAGGGGTAACGTGTTCGGTATCTACAGCTGTTTTGAAGGCAAACATTTTCTAACTCAGTAGACAGTACTTAGAACCTGCCTGAAGTCTTCAGATAAAAGGCTACTTTGAATGCTTATCCTACTGTATATTACATTGTTAATAATTTCAGGAACAGTGGGATGGGGCTGAGGAAGATAGTTTATTTCCTAATGAGTTTTAGATTTATCACTTTTGTGAGTAATCTTTAGAAAATTTGCTTTTGACCTGGAGTGGAGATTATGGCCCAATAATCAACTTCTAGTTTTATGTTTGTTTTCCTAATTCATAAATCCAAATCCATAAATGCTTTCAGGTTTGCATTATATTACTTATTTTATAGGTTTGATAACTTGAAAATGTTTTGTTTAGCAATGCAAGTGACAGAAAAAGCACATCTTTCAAGAAATCAGTAAAATCCAGTCTTCATCCATATTGGTAGGCTTTTACATCAACTTCTTTTTCATGCAGTTGTAATAATTTTTCAGAATTACTTCAGAATTATATTTCTAATCAGGACATAATTCTCTTGGATATTGTAAATGTTTCCTGTCTGATTATCAGAGGAAGTATTTGACGTTGAAAAGGGCTGAAATAGTATGTGTGACTTTATATGTGAGTTTGTTTTACATATGAAGGAGGGTTGTAAACTGAGGTCAAAATGTCATAAATAGAGAAGAACAAAGAAATTGTAATAAAAATTGCCCATAATGCTATCATCCAAGAATAACCATCAACTCAGGAAAACTATTTAATAGGAGTATATATATGCCTTCATTTTATCATTCTCTCAGTTTTTTTCATACTTTATTTTTTACAGAGTTACAGTCATGTTGTAATATTGTTTTGTTACCTGCTTTACCACTTAATTACTATAATTTTTAAAAATCTATAAATGGTCTTTCTCAACATGTACCATAATGATTTAAATTATTTCCTGTTTAGGATGTTTCAGTTATTTCCTTTATTTTTATCTATCTTTGCTATTTTCAGTGGTGCTATAATGATGAATTGTTTTGTGCATTAATCCTCTTTTTACATTTGATTGCTTCAAATAGCTTTCTAAAAATGAAATTTATGAATTTAAGATTATGATCCTATGTCAGGTATTTTATACATGCTACTAGATTAAACATAAACATTTTAACATCATATTTACACTATAATTTATCAACTTTGTTTTTTTTTTTAAGAGTACGAAGATGGTGATCTATCATCTTGGATCAACAGGGAGAGGTTTCAGAATTATCTTACAATGGATGGCTTCCTCTTGTATGAACTTGGAGATACCGGTAACAAGCATATATACAACTCTCCATCACACTACAAAACTTTGCCTTAACTGATTACTTCAATCTGTAGAAAATGAATTTTTTAAGTTCTATTTTGTAATATCATTCCTTCTTTCAGACCTGAATGCCACTTCAAATTTATGAGAATGTAGATTAATATTAACCAAAGAACATACTTTTGCATGTGGAATAAAGCTTAGCTAGAAAGGGTTTACTAATAGAAGTGATAGTGACAGGGAAAACAGCCTGGAGAATAAGGAAATGAGAAAAAATAACCAACCAGAAAGCTGTCCGCAGGACGCTGATTTTGTAATAGGATTTGGAATACAAATTAGCACAACCTTTGAAAGCCTGCTTTTACCTGTGAAGAAAATATGGGCATCAGATTGGCATGGTTTCTTGAAGTTATGTAATTGAAAATGATAAGCAAAGCAAATATAAATATAGACGCAAAAAAGAAAGCTGGAAGGAACTACAGCTGTAAGGACTGGTCTAAAATAGATGTGAACTACAAAAATTGTAAGAAGGTAACCATGTAAATTTTAGGAGGAAGTGTTTTGTAAATTTATAATGAATTGCAAATAATAAGTCATGGTTATTGTTGCCACATTTGTTTCCATTCACAACTTTATGATAGTTGGATGAACATATAGTTTTAGATTAAAAGAATGGGAAAATGTTACTCAAGGCTCAATTTTTTTAATCTGAGAAATAATAGGTATAGAGTTTCCTCTTCATGATTTCCTGCTCTTGGATCTGGTTAAGAATACAAATTAAAGTGCTCCAACACATTTTTCTGTTACTTTGTAACTTTCACAGGATGGTATTTGTTCTGGTTCCTGAGCCTTCTTTTAATGTTCTGTGTCTGGTGATGCTTCTGTCTTTGCTTTCCTTACAGAGGGAGGTGTGTATTAGCTCAGTATTGGAAGTTGACGCAGATACTGTCAGACTGTGGGTTTACCTGCTGATTCATGCAGGCCCATGTGAAGGGAAAAGGGGGAGAATGTAGGAATACGGTAGCTCTGCTCTCAGTACAGCATCGAAGGAGGCGGCAATTAAAATAGGCAGCTTTGCCAAAGCTCTTCAGTGTCTTCTCCCAGATTGATTTGGAAAGAAGTTGGCTATGGCAGTGTTTCTTTGTGTTCCCAGCATAATTGCCCTGGTTGGGTGTCAGCTTCGGCTGTGCCCCGCTCGTGGTCCTACCTGGACGCTTGTCATATAAGCCCCGCAACAGACTCCTGGCCCTCAGGGGCTTCAGACACCTAGTGTATTTTCAGAACTTCTGGCGGCTGCAGGTCCCTGCATCTTCTGACTCCCGCTTACTTTCCTGTTTTGTCTCACTCTCTCCCGTCTCCGGCCACGCTGACTGTTCAGTTTCCTGAAAAGGCTGTGTACCTTGCACCAGAGCACCTTTAAACATTCTGTTTTCTTTGCCTGGAAAAGTGTAGTGAATTTATATTCATCTGTCAAACTCAGACCAAATACTGCTTTCTTAGGAAAGTCTTTCACTAACCCCCTGGAACTACATTAGTTTACTCTTATAAAATGTTCTTTTATAAACCGCATGTCCCCGTGCTCCCCAAGTCTTCGGATTGTTAACCACACGTCTGTGTGTGTGTGATTGTCTTCCCCAAGTGCAGAGCTGTGTCCATGTGCTCCTCACTGTGGCCTTGGGAACTAGCCCTGCGCCGGGTCCACTGCTCGGCGCCCAGTGACTGTGAACTTAATACGCGAGAAACCCCCTGTGTCGGCCTGTGGGAAGATGCTGGACATGTTGTAGGCATTTTGAAAAAACTCATGAAGCACTTTAAATTAAAGGCATAACAGTAAAAACCAAACACTGAACAGTAAATGCAGTAATATTTCAAGAGGGGAAATAAACATTATGAAATAATGTTTTTAGCTGAGGGTTAAAAGAAGCGTCGGGATTGTGTAGAATTTAAAGTTTGTATAGAATTTAAGTATGAAATTAGAGAAGATATGGGGATGAGATTGAAAGATTGTCGATTTAATCCTTCATTTATGTACCTACTCTGAGCCAGAAACTATCCCAGTATTTTTGTACATGTAATCTCATTCAACTCTCCAGATGACTTTGAAATAGATAATAGTTTCTAAAATAAGTTGGTGTCCGCTGAGGTTAAGGCACGTGGCTAATGGATGTTGTGCTTCACTTGTTCTCCCAGGCCTGGAACATGATAGACCCTGCTGGATTGCAGGGTGTGGTCTTCTGACTTCCATAGCAGTGCTCTGGTTGTTACGTCACGCTGCCGTCCTGGAGGATGTCAGAGATGAATATGATTTATGTTCTGTTGAGGGTTAAATAAATTTGAGTCAGTTTTATTTTGTGCATTAATTACTAGCAAACAGTGGCCCGTGGTACCAAAGGGAATAACATTGTAAAAATCATTTTCTTGTTCTATACCATTTTTTCAGAGCTGTAGTAATTCTTAGTATATTTCTTTTATCAACTGGTTCCTTATAGTTTCAGTTTTCAGCAAAATACTTACTTTAGTGTGTGGGTTGTGTGCAAAAAATAACAGTTTGAGTATATGAATTGTTAAATATTTACTGTTATTGATATTCACATTTCAGGGATGGGAGGTAGGTGGGAGTTTGTCACTTGGAGTCAACAGTTCACTGTTTCACTCTGCTAAGCATAACATGTTTAAGATAATTGGAATTGAATTCTGGAAACTATATACTATTTTCCTATTCATTGCTACAGTAATAATTGAAAAGTTTAATGAGGATTATTGAATTTAGATGTCATTCTTAATTTCAGGAAAGCTTGTGGCTATCGCAGTAATTGATGAGAAAAATACATCAGTTGAACATACCAGGTATGGTGCCTTGAAATAGTTTTAAGCTTCACATATTATCCAATTCAGACTTTACATGGCTTCAGATAAACTTGACATAGTATCTTACTTTTCCTGCAGTGTTAGATATTAGATAAGGCAGCATATATGATAATTGAGTAATTATATTTTTCAAGTTGATGAAATGGAATATTCATGTATTTTTTGTTTTCTCACAGATTAAAGTCAATTATTCAGGAAGTTGCTAGAGATTATAGAGACCAGTTCCACAGGTAGGTGTTTGCATTCTGGAAGCCTCCATTATCTTTGTCTAATTAGGTTTTGCAATACAGTAAAGCAAAAATAGGAATATTTCATACTTTCAAAGATGAATCAAGGAGCTGAAGTGAATTACAGCATGTAGCATTTCAGTATGAATTGTTTGAAGTTTGTTGATATATGTCTTACAGGTTTAAAAAAAACTTGTAATTTGTATCATACCTGAGTCTTGATAGGATTGGGGATAAGTTGGTGGTAAGAAAATATGCACATACAGGCATATACCTCAGAGGTATGGCGGGCATGGCTCCAGCCCAGCGCAGTACAGCAAGTCGCATGAAATTTTTGGTTTTATTTAACATATAAAAGTTACGTTTTTGTATATTAAGTGTGCAGTAGCATTGTGTCTAAAAACTGTACTCACTTTAAAAATGCTGACCATCATCTGAGGCTTCAGTGAGTTGTAATCTTTTTGCTGGTGGAGGGTCTTGCCCCGATGTTGATGGCTGCTGACTGGCCAGGGTGGTGGTCACCGCAGGTCAGAGTGGCTGTGGCTTTTTCTTAAAATGGGACAGCAGTGAAGTTTGCCTCATCCGTTGACTTCCTTTCATGAACGATTTCTCCGTAGCGTTGGTAGCATTTTACCCATAGTCGAACATCTTTCAAAATCTGAAGCAGTCCTCTCAATCCTTGCTCCTTTGTCAGCTTAGTTTATGTAATATTCTGAATCCTCTAAATGTTGTCATTTCAACAGTCCTCACAGCCCCCTCATCAGGAGTAGATTCCTGGAACCACTTTTAAGGAACCTCTTCGTTTGCTCATCTGGAAGAAGCAGCTCCTCATCCACTCAGGTTTTATCACAAGATTATACCAATTCATTCACATCTTCAGGCTCCTCTTCTAAGTCTGGTTTTCTTACTGTATTCACCACATCTGCAATTACTTCCTCTCCTGAAATCCTGAACCCCTCAAAATCATCCATGAGGGTTGGAATCAGCTTCTTCCAAACTCCTGTTAATGGTGATATTTGACCTCTTCCTGTGAATCATGAATGTTCTTAATGGCATCTAGAATGGTGAATCCTTGCCAGAGGTTTTCAGTTTACTTTGCCCAGATTCATCAGAGGAATCACTATCTATGGCAGCTGTGGCCTTAGGATACGCGTTTCTTCAATAAGAAGACTTGAAAGTCAAAATGACTCCTTGATCCATGAGCTGCAGAATGGGTGTTGTGTTAGCAGGAGTGAAGACAACATTAATCTTATTGTGCATCTCCATTAGAGCTCTTGGGTGACCCAAGTGCATTGTCAATGAGTAGTAATATTTTGAAAGGAATCTCTTTTTTTCTGAGCAGTAGGTCTCAACAGTGAGGCTTAAAATATTCAGTAAACCATGTTGTAAATAGATGTGCTGCATCCAGGCTTTGTTGTTCATTTGTAGGGCAAAAGGCAGGATAGATTTAGCATAAATCTTAAGGACCCTAGTATTTTCAGAATGGTCGATGAGCATTGGCTTCAACTTAAAGTCACCAACTATGTTTGCCCCTAACAAGATAGTCAGCCTGTCCTTTGAAGTTTTGAAGCCAGGCATTGTTGACTTCTCTCTAGCTAGAAATCCTAGATGGTGGCTTCTTCCAGTATAAGCCTGTTTCACCTACACTGAAAATCTGTTGTTTAGTGTAGCCACCCTCATGACTTACCTTAGCTAGACCTTCTGGATAACTTGCTGCAGCTTGTACATCAGCACTTGCTGCTTCACCTTTGCACTTCATGTTACGAAGATGGCTTCTTTCCCGACCAGGTGCATTGTCAATAAGCAGTAATATTTGGAAAGGAATCTTTCTTTTTCAGAGCAGTATGTCTCAACAGTTAGCTTAAAATATTCAGTAAACCATCTTGTAACCAGATGTACTGTCATCGTGGCTTTGTTGTTCCATTTAGGGAACACAGTCAGAGTAGATTTAGCATAATTCTTAAGAGCCCTAGGATTTTCAGAATGGTAAATGAGTATTGGCTTCAACTTAAAGTGACCAGCTGTATAAACCCCTAGCAAGAGAGTCAGCCTGTGTTTCGAAGCTTTGAAACCAGACATTGACTTCTCTTTATCTATGAAAGTCCTAGGTGGCATCTTCTTCCAATAGAAGGGTATTTGATCCACATTGAAAATCTCTTGTTTAGTATAGCCGCCTTCATTAATTGTCTTAGCTCAATCTTCTGGATAACTTGCTGTAACTTCTACATCAGCCCTTGCTGCTTCACTTTGTATTTTTCTGTTATGGAGACAACTTCTTTCCCTAAACCTCATGAACCCACCTCTGCTAGCTTCAGACTTTTATTCTACGGCTTCCTCTCCTCTCTTAGCCTTCATAGAACTGAAGTGAGTTTGGACCTTGCTTTGAATTAGGGTTCGCCTTAAGGAAATATTGTGGCTGGTTTGATGATCTACCCAGACCACAAAAACTTTTCTGCATATCAGTAATAAGGTTGTTTTACTTTCTTACCATTCGTGTATTCACTGGAGTAGCACTTTTAATTTCCTTCAAGAAGTTTTCCTTTGCATTCACAACTTGTCTAATTGTTTGCTGCAAGAGGCCTAGCTTTCAGCCTATCTGAGCTTCCAACTTCCCTTCCTTACTAAGCTTGATCTTTTATAGCTTTTGATTTAAAGTGAAAGACATGGGACTCTTACACTTGAACATTTAGAGGCCATTGTAGGCCATTATTAACTGGTCTAATTTCAATATTGTTGGGTATTAAGGAATAGGGAGGCCCAGGGAGAGGGGGAGGGAGAGAGATGGGGGAACGGCTGGTTGGTGGAGCAGTCAGAACACACAAAACATTTATTGCTTAAATTCAAAGTCTTATATGGGCACAGTTCGTGGCACCCCGAACATCACAATGGTAACATCAAAAAATCACTGCTCACAGATCGCCAGAGCAGATATAATAATAATGAAAAAAGTTCGAAATATTGTGAGAATTACCAAAAATGTGACACAGAGACATGAAGTGAGCAAATGCTGTTGGAAAAATAGCACAGATAGACTCACTCAAAGCAGGGCTGCCAGAAACCTTCAGATTGTAAAAAACATAGTATCTGGGAACTGCAGTAAAGCAAAGCCCAATAAAAGGAGGTGGCCTGTATACTCATACATTTGAAATAAAAATAAATGAGCAATCACAAGTCAGATACAGATGACGATTTTAATAGGAACTCAAAATGCTCCTATTTTAATAGGAACATAAAAAACAGGTGATATTTTTTCCTGTATGCTAAATCACTGTTTTAAAAGACAGTCAATATAAATTTGTTGCATTACTTAATTATTATGCCCTTTTAATTCTAAGTCTTCTAATGATATATCAATGATATATGTATTTCTTGTGTTACACAGTATGAAACGAAATAGAAATGTCTTAAAATTTGCTTAATTTGTTATGTGTTTGTATCTCAAAAGCCAGTAGAATTCATACTTTTTTATATTTATTGTATGTGATTGATATGTTAAATGTTTACAGTGTTTGCATGCTTACCAAACCCTAAATTCAGTGCTTTGTATTTATCTTTTTTTTGTATTTAATGTTGTCCTCTCTTTCTCTGTTCTTTTTGGTTGTTGTTGATTAGGGATTTTCAGTTTGGCCATATGGATGGAAATGACTATATAAATACCTTACTGATGGAGTAAGTAAAATGCTAAATGACGAAATGATTTTGCTATCAACTCTATCAATTTTTTTTTTTTTTTTTTTTGCACACTGTGTGGCTTGTGGGATTTTAGTTCCCTGACAAGGGATTGAACCTGTGCCCCCTGCAGTGGAAGCACGGAGTCCTAACCACTGGACCTCCAGGGAAGTCCCCACTCTATCAATTTTTAAATTTCTGTTTTTCAGAGACAGGCAGGACTAATAGCTGAAAAAAGCAAACCTTTGTATATGCTAATACAGATATTCTCCCATTAAATATTTACTTTAGTTTTTAAATCTGTATTTGAAACTTATTAAACTTTAAAGTTCTCTATACTAAAAAAAAAAACCTCCCAATTTAATGTTGACAATTTATAGTATTTTGGAAAGAAAACATCATTCAAAAACTTGTAAACTTTGTGGTTTCTGTTTAATATGAACCCTAAGTTCAGTTTTAATGAATAAATGTAACTTAAGTAGAAAATTTTTAGCATTTAAGAATTAATTGCTATTCTAGAAGAATTTAACAAACTAAGTTTATAGGAAAACTTTGCAGCTCTAATATAATATTGATTATGCTTATGATGTAAAGATCTGATTTGTCACTTCAGAAAGTTGATATTAGAAAACATTTACCAGACCTATACTGAATTAATAAGTTTCAAATAAAAGCCTGCTCTATTCAGTGGACGTTTAGTGAATATTTGCTGTAAGTCACACACTGTGTTTGGCATTGCACTGTTGATGCAAAAAAATGAGTAAATTATAGAGGCCCTGTCTTCAGATGCTCACTGTCTGCTGGGTGAGACAGCACGGTGACTCCAGCACTGTGTGGGAAGGCCTGTGTGGTACGGAGCTCTGGAAGCGCGGAGAGACCCAGCCACACCAAAATGCACAGCAAGGCGCAGGGGCTCAGGAAACGCTTGCCACAAGAGCTGGTAATTAAGGGACATTCTAAAGAATGAGAAGTAGCTGAATGAAGAATGCAGCGAGGTTATTTCAGGCAGAGTGTAATACCAAACACAAGAGTGTTTGGAAAATGGGTCTTAAAATAGCCCGGACGTGAAGATGGCAGAAGCCCTCCAGAGCTTTACCAACTTATAAACCCAGACTAACATTCATAATTTTCAGGTATGAGCCTAAAATTACGAAGTAAAGTACCTTTATTCATTTATAATCAATTCATTACCCTTATTCCAATAAGAATTTGAGAGGGTTTACCGAAGACATAAAGTACCAGATGTAATATATAATGAAAAAATCAAGACAAAGGGAAATAAAATAAAGGATCTATACAATTACTAAAGGTACTTAAACAATTTGAATTTTTAATACTCAAGACAAAGTAGAAAAACATAGTTTTTACATTTCCCGTCCCCTATAGAATAACTGTTGCTTATAGGAGTATGGCTGACCTTGTAGAAACCTAAGAGAAATTGCTATGCTATATAATCTCATAAAGGGGGGCACATTATAATAGAAATGTATTTTTAATAGGATCTTTACAGTATATATAGTAGAGACTTCGATACAACCATTTATAATGTCCTTGGAGGCAAGCCAATAAAGTGATGCAATAAAACATTTTGGGCAAGAGGCCAAAGCAATTTGCATCTGATAAATAACTCCTTGATTCAGGATAATATTCAGAATTTCTAGAGATGGATGGACATTCCTTCATGAGTATTATTTCTTATGTGAGCTGTGAGATAGAAGTTTCGCTGCAGTTATGGTCAGAGAACAATAATCTCTACCACGGACCTCTTATTGTTTGTTTTCTTTAAAATTCATACTTGGCTTTTTTTTGAGAGAAGAGAGAAGGCATATAATGATGGCTCTATAATAATCGAAAGTCCTTAACGAGCACTTACCCTGTGACCAACACTGTACTGAGTTGTCAATGTATGTTTTCTGACTTTTACACTAACTCAGTAAGGTATAAGTACTGTTATTTCCGTTTTATATAGATGAGGAAATTGAAATTTCTTAGAAGAAACTCAAGGAAATTAAATAATAAGCCAAAGGATGCTAAGCAAGTAAGTCAAAGAGATCCAGTCCTCAAATGCAGATCTCTCTTACTGCAAAATCTCCTAACTACTGTAAGATCAGTATTGACACATAAATTAGTAGAATTTAATAAGTATTGATGCCTAAAAGTTTTTAACTTAGGGCAAATACGTGATATTATATAAGATAGTTAACACTATAGCGTTGACGATGTTTTTACTTTTTCTCAGAATAAACAGGGTACTCTCAGACCTTTGGTCTATTAAATTATTTTGTGTTTTATTTTTGTGAGTATAGTTAAGAGGGAATAGGATGAGGTGCTATTTTTCATCGTTATTCAGATGGAATTATTTCAGAACAAATTGTTTCTAGTTCAGCTGTGTATTTAACTTTTTCATAAGATGTATTTTTATAAGAAGACCAGGTTCTACTTCATTCCATAAAAATAGAATTTTGCTACTGATGCAGTATGATGATAACTAAACTGCTATAAGTTAAAAAGTTGTCTCATGTTTTTATAAACAAGAATGAAGCTAAGATTTTTTTTTTAGTTACAGTTAATTATTGCCTAACAATAATACTGGATAACAAAACACCCTGATACCCAGTGGCATAAAACAGCAATCCTTCATTCTCTCTCACTCTCCTGGGCTTGGCTAACCTTAGCCGGGCACAGCCAGACGTGGCTCCAAGCTGCCAGTTAGGTCCAGGTCTACCCTACGTGTCTTCCATGTCCTTGACCCTGGAGGGATATTTTCCTGGGGGATGTTCTTCTCACGGCAATAGCAGAAACACAAGAAGGCAAGCACATTTCAAGCCTCTGCTTCAGTCATTTCTGTGCCTTCCCATTGGCCAAAGCACACGGCTGAGCCCAACATCAGGGATCATGTTTTGCCTCCAGAGAGAAGGACGTGGTGTGGGGAGGGATAGAGAATTATAAACAAGAAAGCAACCTCCTGGACCCAGTTACTTATGTGGTGATAATACAGTGCTGTAAATGGTTTCTACTGTAGAGTTTTGTGCTTTTGCATAATACATTCATATAGACATATGAATAACCATAAACATAATGTAGGTGGCATACAGAATTAAGCACCTTTTTATGGTTATGCAAAACCCTATTCTTGAAGGGAAAGAAAAAATATTTGAAGTAAATGACACATTAGTAATATGGTTTTTGTCTGCAAACTGAATTGATGTCTAATATATCACTGAAGCACCCAAGAGGATGGGGGTGATTATACCATAGGGTAGTGGGCGTTCAGAGAATTTGGAATAGTATTTATTGAATGCGTATTATGTATTGATACAAGGAGTGTGCTGGATATTTAACTTGAATTTTCTCATTTAACTTCTGTAGCAAGATAGGTACCCTGCCCCCCACACCTTTATTCATTTATAAATGAAAAATATTAGACTTAAACAAAGTTGTGGGAAAGCATCAGATCCGAACACAGGCAGTGTAACTCTGGAGACCATGCTGTTCCCTCTCTAGTTGCCTGAACGCCCTTTAACTGAGGTGGGCTGTATATGATTAAAGTGATGGTATTTAAGATAAACTTGTGGCCAGGAATTATATTGCCCCAAACTGATACTTCATACATAATAATTTTTATCCTTAGGTTTGATCGTGAATACTCATTTGTCTGATGTTGTATACTAATAGTTTTCATAAATGTTAATTTAGCTATTTTTTAAACTGATGCACAATTTGAAATTTTCTTTATGTAAACAAAGGAAGGCAAAGCTATTATAGCTCCCTGCTTTTGCACTTGTAGTTATTTAGATATAATTCAAATAAGTATCAGAATATTTGTTGTCTCTGTGTTTAACATGTATTTTGATCTCTTTTGTTTTTCTATTTTCAGTGAATTAAAAGTCCCAACTGTGGTTGTACTGAATACTTCAAACCAACAGTACTTTTTACTAGATAGACAGATTAAGAATACAGAAGACATGGTCCAGTTCATTAATAATGTTTTGGATGGCACAGTAGATGTGAGTTTTTGCTTTAATTGCAATGGGGTGATGGGAGGAGGTGGAGGAGAAATTAGTTATTTTCTTCTGATTCTGAAAGAAAGAGTCGGCCATCACCCGGGGTGAGGGGCAGGCCTCCATCCTTGCTTCTCTCACATGATAGGCAGTCACCTTCCCCAGGACCTAAGTGGCAGAGGCTGCTAATGGGTGGAATGTTATTTGGAGGACATAGCTTGTCATAGTGATGGGGGGAGGTGTTACTGGCATTTAGAGTCAGGGGCTAGGGATGCTGAGAGGTCTGCAGGGTACAGAGCTATCCGATAGTGAACTTCCTGACTCTTAGTACCTCTCTGGATTCAAGAATACAATTGCATTAAGTTACTTGGATTGGTTTTCTAAAAAAACCTGTGAATAGCACCACAGTTTCTTAAAAGATGAGGAAATGTATTTAAAACCAGCCCCAGTGGAGTGTTCCAAATATAATCCTATAAAATATTTCTCAGAAATGATGAATGGATAATCTTAACTGTTTTTCTCTGTAAACTATATTGCAGTGTTTTTCAAACTGGGTTGTAGGCCCGTATTAGAGGGTCATGAAATCACTTCAGCAGGTTGTGGCCAACATGCATCTTAATTCAATATACTAGAAAAAAATAAGAAAAGAAGAGACTTCAGTGCTTTTGTGAAGTGTAGTTATTACTTTGTGAGACTTGTTTCAGCTTTATACAAACTATATTTGAAAGTTGCCTCACAGCGTAACAAGTATTTCTTCTTTGGAAACACTCTTGATCACATAGTAGGAATTTTATATTTGTGAAAATAACACTTGTTGAAATGATGCTCACCTGTATGAGTGAGAACCCTTCTATTTGTAAGTTAGTGAAATTCAAGGAATGAGCCAGACTTCAGGCATGGCTGAATGCAGGGATTTGATGGATTTTCATTAGGAATTTTTCTCCCTCTGCCTTCCAGCACTTTTTTCTTTTTGGGTTTCATCATCGGAGAGACTTTCCCTGCAGGACAGTGAGGATATCCTGCAGCAACTGTAACACTCAGCTAAACTGAAAAGTTGGGCAGGCCGGCACTTGGGTGGGTCAGCCTCAGCCCAGCTGCTTGGACTGTGACCAGGGAGGATGCATTTTCAGAGGAGAATCAGACTGTGTTCATACAAGAGAGCAGAAGGAGGGTGGGACAGAAAAACCAGTTAAATATTTACTCCGTGGCTCTTTCAGGTGCTCTGTGTAATCTTTTGTATTCAGCTCTTGACCTGCAATTGTAAGATTATCTAACAGAAAAATCAAATAATAGTACTGAAATAACAATTGTTTTTTTCTTGTTACATTTAAGGCCCAAGGAGGGGATAGCATTTTGCAGAGATTGAGAAGAATAGTATTTGATGCCAAATCTACTATTGTGGTAAGTTGTGACAGCGTGTTTAGTGTCACTAATAATTGAGACTATATTGGTATATAGGTTATGTCTAACTAAGGTAAAATCTGGAATTTCAAAGGATTCGGTAAAAATACATATTCTTAACTTGCAAGATAAGAACTAGTACATATTTACGAAAAGAAAAGATACTAATCAGGTGGATACTAAGTTTCTCCAATTATTCATTTCTGTATGATTGGTGAGTTAACTGGAATTCAGAATCACTGAACCTGATAGCATGACTTAAAGTGTTTTGCAGAGTTTCTTTCCTCCTCCTGCCCTTTTCAGTCCTTGGATCTGAAGCCTTCTTGCTGAGAACTGTAAGAAATCTCTCTTACGATCCCAGCTTCAGCTGTCAGTCAGCTTGACTGCAGGGCAGCCCTAAATTTGTTGGAGCCTTGAACTTAGTTCTAGTTGTCTATCTAGAGCTCCTCCACAGGTATTTTCATTCATTACGGCCAAAAGCAAGATAGAGCTAACCGTCTTCTGTTGGTGGGAAGTGAAGTCATGCTAATAACTCATTAGTTACTCCGTGCATCCTTCAGTTTGTCAGTGACCTTCTTTCTGCGGATTGGGCCCTTATCCCATTATGTGTGGCTGCTGCACTAGCCTACACTTGGTCTTCACACTTCCTCTTGCCCTGCCTGCAGTCCTCTGCCTACTTAGTATCACTAAAATAATCAGTTCTGACCACTTCCCTTCCCTTTTCCTGTGATGCCCCTCACAATTCTCTGTCCGCCTCACATATTCGCCTCCTCAGTCTTTGAGCTCACACTGCACCCTGGCCTGCCTTGTTCTTACGCTTACATTTCTGCCTCAAAACACCTTTACTTTATTCTGTGATGCCTTTTTCCATTATCTCAATCCAAAGTGACCCTGCTCTCCTCTGAACTTGTCTCTTTAGTTCTCAAGAGTTATAGTCACAATCCATAGAATATATTATAGTTGAAAAACCTATTCAGTTAAATTGCTTTTACTTTTCTGGGAGCCGAGGAGACAGTATATAAACTGAGGGAAATTATTAAGTTAATGTTGCTTTACTGCTAACCAGACAAGTAAAAAATGTTAAAAATGTTATGTGAAGAGAATATTATATGGTCAATAACCACCCTTCTCCATAGCAGATTCCTATAGCCAGGATATAACTGTACAGCTCTTGGCACATAATAGCCATCTCAAAGAGACCTTTGTGATTAATGTGAGAAAAATAAACATCTTTTGAAAAGGTAGTGGACAATTTGGTGCCTTTTTCTGCTGCCAATAGCTGGTTATACATACACACATACATGGGTATAAACTTTCTAAAGGGTCTTTCACATGATAGTCACAACGGAAATATTGACATTGATTCACTGGAACTAAAAGCAAGTTGGATGGCAGGAAGAGGAAGAAATCTGTAGTGGTTTTAAATTCATTTGTGCTTTTTATATCAGAATACAAATGAGGGATGTAACTATCTTTCCACAGTCTATATTCAAGAGCTCCCCACTGATGGGCTGCTTTCTCTTTGGCCTGCCACTGGGTGTCATCAGCATCATGTGCTACGGCATCTACACGGCTGACACAGATGGAGGTTACATAGAAGAACGGTATGAAGTGTCCAGAAGTGAGACGGAAAGCCCAGAACTGGTAGAAGAGAGCAAAGGAAAACAGGAGCCCAGGAGTGGGGACTCTCTGGTGCCTGCAGTGCAAGAACCCAAAGACGTGTTAGAAAAGAAGAAAGACTGAGACTTTACCAGGATAAAATATTTCATAGGATTTCAAATTATTAAAGAGTCTATTCATTGAATTTAGACATTTAATCATGACCTTTACAGAAGAGAACATGGTGTTTGTATTTTGCTAACATCAACTGCATGGGTTATAAAATAGTCCTTCCGTAAATGGGGAGATGTTTGGAGCAAAGAGATGAAACGTTTGTCTAAAACAAACAAAATCAAAACACTCCATCAAAGTTTACCTTATAGATGTTGTTCTACCAGATCAGTTCTATTTGCATGTTTCTCTATCTGAATATTCTGTGACAAAATTAAGATTCTTGGGCAGAATATTTAAATTGGCCAGGCAGGTAGAAGATACATGTGTGACAGAGAAAAATAACACCTCCACCTCCTACCATCCATTCTCCTCATGTTTTGGATAAGATTTATATGGACAAAATTAAGTCTTTAAAACTTAGGCACTTTAAGGAGAACTAATAACTTTTTCCAAGGATCAAATTAAGATTATGAGATAAAATAATTTGGTTTTATACAGCATAGTGATTTTATTTTGTTATTTTTAAAGGAGAGGAAATGTTACTTTTTACCTTTATACTCAGTTGCATTATAAAGCTTTCATACGGGCCTATATCGTGGGGAAAAAAAATAGTCTTATGTTTAATCTTTGCAGCAGAAACAGGATTTACTTGGATCAGTGATTTCAAATGATGCCCTGGACACTGAGAAGGTGTCTCAGCCAACACTGCAGGAAGGGAGGGGGGGGGGGGGGCCC